ACTTTAATTAGAGACTCAAAGATGATTAACTTAGTACAAAAAAAAGTTTTCTTTGGACAATCACTAGAAAATTTCTATTTTCATATCTATAGTAATTTATATATAGAATCGCGTCACGTTTTACTATGATCATTCTTCAGTTGACTGGAGAATCATCAATTAATATATTAGTTTTATTTTTTACTTTTTTTTCTTTTTTCCTTCCTTATGAGAAAATGTCATTAGTTTGGCAGCATTCTATTATAGGGCAAGAATTTTAACGAGGCGAGCAACAGCTAGCTGAGGAATTCAGAGGAAATAAGTCTGAAGTGAGTTCCAGATCTCTGAAGGAGGCAAAGTATTGCTAGACAGGTCGCATCTGAGCAAAACCAACAGTTTAATAGTTCAGTCTAACTGTAAATAGATGTTACGGTATCTGCAAGATACACCGTAGGTGAGTTTACATTTTGGTTAGAACACTTATAGATTTAGATTTCTATAATAAAGTAAACAGGATTGCCAAAGGAAAAAAAAAATTTATTAAGAGTAAACTATACTTTATTTAATCCAAAATATTAATTAAATCTAAATAAATAATTATTAAAAAAAAAAAAGTTAGTTCACCAACCAGGCCGCCGGCTTAAGCATTGATCAGAGAAAAAAATCAGCAGATACCACAGAACTAGTGTCTCTTCCAGGCCATCTAAATTGGTAATCTGAGGAAACTGGCTAGAAGTGCATCTATGCACCCCCTAAATCAGTTTAAAAACCTGTTTTTAGCCACTATGTACTCTCTATCCAAAATAGAAATGATCATCATTATTGTTATTAATATTAACAAAACTAAGGTTAACTGTTAAGGTTAGAGTCAAGGATAGTGTTAGAGTTAAAGTAGGCTTTAGAAAATATCTATACCAAAATTTTGCAAAAATTTTTTTTGTTATAATGCAAAAGATAATTTCATATATGAAATTTTAATATAAAGATAATTTTTTGAATAAACGAATGTTTTTTTAATTTTAATATTACATACTGATCATTTGTATAGCATCTATATATCTAATGCTGATTGGCTAGAGAACCAGTTTCCAAACTGATTAAGAGAGCACATAGATGCATGTAACCAGCTAAAAGGTACTAAAAGAGAAGGTATCAGGTTGTCTTGAAAGAAAAATATCAGAATTTATATGAACTTTGCAAGGGCCAGAAAGTTTGTGATGTGATCTGCCTGTAAAAGGTTTAGAACCTATCCGGTGAATCTATCTGTGAAAAGAATTGGCGATGTGGTTTGCTCGTAAAAATATAATACCTATCTAGCAAAACTTATCTAAAAAAGACTAGGTAATATGATAATAGTAGATACCAGACTGCTCTAGCAGATGATGACCTCAAGGATGAATCAGTTAATCAAGCCGGTAGTCCTATAGGTAGTTCGTGAACAAGCCTAGAACTTGGACTGACTAATGTATCACAGATTCCAGATGAGGTTAGATGGATTGGCATAAGAAACTCAGATCAGAGGGTTTAAATAGATAACCCAAATAATAGGTGGGTAATAAATAACCCCAAATAATAGGTGGATAATAGATATGACATCTAGTGTAAAACCTAGTAATAGGCAGACTACTTAAATTAGGTGCTCAAAAGGCGCAGGTATGGCTAGAATGTACTCTTATCAGAATGTACTTGTCTGGGGCCTCTTTGAAAAAGGACACCATATGATTCTATAATTTAATAAAAGTGATAAGCCAAAGAGGCTAACCTTGACCACAAAAAAAAAAAAAAAATTATTAAAAAAACTTTTATTTATAAAATTTAATAATAATTATTATTTTTATTGATTAAATTAGAGTTCCAATCCGGATAAATCCGTCATCCGTTTATCCGTATCCGATTATCCGGATAATCCAAATCGCTCGGATATCCAGATAATCCGACAGGTAATCAGATAATTATCCGGATATTAATAGTAAAACGGATATCCGAATAAATTCAGATTTGGATATCCGATGGATAAATGGATAAACGGATAATGGATAGAAACACTAGATTAAATATAATAGAGAGAAAACAAAATAGCCTATTAAAAAAAATACAAGAGATTTTTATTGATTATAATCAATATAAATTGAAAATAGTTGATTTATATTTTAAAAGAGATTGTAATTTGATTTATATACAATATATTGATTATAATTGATTTTATTAAAATCGATTACTGTATCAATATTCATACAGATAGCAATTAGTTAAAAATCAATCGATCATAATCGATTAACTATTTGTAATCAATTATAATCAGGGTTTAAAATTTTCCTGATGTTTGATCAAATTTAAGAAAATTGAAATTTAAAAGAATCATATATGGTATAACGATATTTTATACATACGTACAATAGCCAATCAAAATCAAGAATTTTCTGTTTCAATTCGGTTAGTTAACTCAATAATACTAGAATATATATAACGTGTAACCAATTAGACTAACATAGAGTCAAATGGTCAAATGAGAGAAATATGCTAACTTAGACTACGTACTGTATTAATGTTAGCATTTATAGTTTTATGCTTAAATAGAAGGTTAACTCGGCTTAAAATGAGGATAATCAGAAATAACATAAAAAAACAACAATCTATTTTCCGAATTATATAAACAAAAACCAGAAAAGTCTAGTCTGAAAAATGAAATATAATAGAAATTTAGAATTCGATTTTTGTCAATGTATTAATAATTTTCAAAATTCAAGACCATTACCGGAGTTTATATTAACAACCAGATCCACCGAAATATTGTGCTTATACATGTAAACAATTGACCTTATAAAATAGATTTGCAACAGTATATGGAATAAAGAATATGGAATATGGAATATGGAATACAAACGAAAAAAAGAAAATTGTAAAGAATGCTATATCTTTGTTATATTAACAAATAAATGTATGTATGTATACATACATACATAATTAAATATAACTGATATCTGATATACATACATATGTACTTAAAATATCTATCAGATATCGACATCGATATGAATAAAATAAAAAAATATGGTATGCTACGCCATATCAGAGACCTGCGAGACCTGCGAGACCTGCAAGACGGTTATTTAAGAAATGAGCGATGCAGTCATACTTGCATTTCATTACCAAAAAACAAAAACATAAGCATTGAACAAATCATATAACACTAGCAATAACGTATTATTTACTTATTTGTTACATCCGAAGAAATGTAGCTACTAACTTGGATCTTCGTAAATAATACGTTGTTATTTCCAGATAAGGTTTCATAAAAAATCACTATATTATAGAATTTTATAAATGCAATTGATCGATTATTCTATAGTTATTTTTTTTTGTAAGTGAAGCTCGCACAAAGCTGTACACGTTTCCTTTAAATCTCGTACCTACGTATGTACATACCGAGATCGAAATTTTGAATAGTATCCAAAATTATATTTTTCTCCAATAGGGGAAAAAGGTACTCATAATAGAAAAGTCAAAAAAATCATAATATCTGTGACACAATATATTGTTTATCAGGTTACAATCCTAAATGTTACGAGTATTGTTCTTTACATTTTATATTTGTCGATCTAATTACAATCCTTACGTACCATATTATATTACCCCGCATTCAATTTTGGTATTTCGGTTACATATTATTATTATTATTATTATTGAGTAAATTTATATATAACTTTATGATTCATAAAGATCAAGGTATATTTTTGTTCATCCGTGCCCTCTTGCAGGTGTTAGACTCAAATCATTGAATGATTCGCTTAACTCTTGCAAAAGGTCGGATTTTAACCAATTATACCTCTTTATCATATTACTATAACTGATTTATTAGAGGCTGAGAACGAGTTCACAAGATAATACAAATCTTTTATCATACACTCGTTATAAGTGTACACTTGAAATTAGAATATAGTTAACAAAGTCTTCTTAATTGTCCTAACTTCGTAATATTATCGAACGAATAATACCCAATAATATCATAGTCTTGTGTTCTCCTTTGTCAGTAACATCTTTATTACTTACTCTATTATTTACTCTGTAACTCTTTACAGAAGTTGGAAAAACTTTAATTTTTGTGAGTTTCATTGATTTTCAATTTGTTATTAAAATTCATTATTCAAATTTTTTAAGCTTGTTCCAATATACTAATTTACCTTTGTACTCCTTTCGTGTGATGCAGCTAATTTATAACTTCAAGCTTATTTAAAGCTTGTTTGTTGTCGGTATGTTTAAAAAATTTTTTTTTCTTATTCATAAAGTTAATTCTCATCAAATTATTATTTTATTTGATTAGCTCATTTGATTTCTCGTTACACCTTAGTATAAAGTGGACCATGAACAGAGGCTACAGTTACATAACGCTTACGGATTTTCCTGGCGAATGTCTCTACGAAATCTTTCTATACCTAAAAAATGATAATGATTCACTTTTCAATTGTTTGATGGTAAATCGTAATTGGTGCCATCAAGCAATTCCTTTGTTATGGCGTAAACCATTCAGAAAACATCCTAATGTTACAATGCCATTTTTACTCATCCGTACTTATTTATCTTGTCTTTCTGATAACGCAAAAAAACGTTTAAGTGCTGCCGGTTGTAGACATCGTGCTCTATCATCCAAACCTTTATTCCCTTATCCTCTATATTTACGTGAACTGGATTTCGCTGAACTAGATTATGCTTTGGATATTTGGTTAAGCTATGGATTAGAGTATGAATATGAACCTCCAACTTTGAGGCATGTACTATCCACTGAAGTATATAATTTATTATTCACTCATTGCAAAAGTTTATGGAATTTGAGGATTGGTCAATGGGATGACGAATATTCCGTAATGGATATTGCTCAAATTGTAAGAGCTCCACAAACTCTCTCTACTCTTCGTCACTTTGAACTTTGTGGTGACTTTGATTGGTTAACTTATGAAGATCTTGATAACCTTTCAAATATTTTGACTATAATGTCCCATTTTACTTTTGATCTTCAATCTTTAAAGATCGATATGTCTTTGGATGAGGATAAATGCTTACTAAAACGTTTAAGAAGGTTAATCAAAGCTCAATCCGCTTTAAAATCTTTTACATATTCCCAAAAACATGGTTGTGTTATGGACACTAAATCTATCATGACGGCGTTGACAACTCAATCAAAGAACCTTGTAAATTTGGTTCTTGATGATATTCCCTTAAATATGGCGTGCCTAAAATTCTTAGAAAAATTTAATAACTTGAAAACTATACAGTTCATGTTCTGTAATATTAAAAGCAGCGAAGTTAATTATTGTAAAGATACCGGAAAACTTATCGATGTTGTTCCAGATGAGGATGATGCTGAAGGTAATGGTGACGAACCGTGGAAATTGAATGTGGAGAAATTGGTATTTTTGAAAAATAATTTTAGGCAGATGACCATAAATTTGGTAAAGATGACTCATACTACATTGAGAGAACTTACGGTTGATCGTGCAACGGTTGAGTTATTAACTGAAATCACACAACGATGTGTAAATCTTGTATATTTGGCAATTGGAATTTCTTCGATACCTATCGATGAGTTATATAGAATCTCAAGTATGAAACTTGAAGTATTAGTTATTGGTTGGAACCTTTCTAATACAGAGAATATAGAGCTATCGAAGGAAGAATGCGAAAAACTAGGAAAATTTTTACCAACGTCATTACATCATCTATATATTGACTTCCCAATGACACCATCACAACTCGAAGTGGTTCTTCATAATTGTGTTATGCCGCCCATCATTAGTTTAAAGTTTGGATTATTAGATTTTGAGAAATGTGCCATAGCAACTTTAAAGCGTGCGAAGGAGACTAATGGATTTCAAGAGGTGAGGATTGTAAGACCGACACTAAAAGCTGTAACTATGATAGAGAAGATATTACAAAAGGAGAGATGGGAAAATAGCCTTATTCGTATGGTAGGATTTGGACGAATAATTGGAATTAAAGTTGGAATAGAGCGTGAAGAGCCATTTGGGGCTTGTGAAATACAACACTAATGTTGTTATCTCGTTATTATTCAACAAATCACTTAGTAATTTATAATAAATAATGAACATTGGATTTAATTCTTATGTGAATTTCTTCATGAATTTAGTTTTGTACAGACATTTTTCTTTTCGAAAAAAACTTTTTTGTATATATCAGCGTAGATTTTGATTATTTTCAAGAATATTCAATTTAAATATATTTTGTAATTATTAGTAATATTTTCCATTATCAAAAAAAGAAAAAAAAAAACGCAAAATAATTTAAAACAATCTATTAATAATATAAGTAAATTTTTTTTAGGTTTATAATATAATGAGAATTTAATATCCTATTGTTTAAAATATTTTATAAATGATTTATTATATCAAAACGTTTAACAAATCTCGATGCTCGATGCAACGTTGGAAATTAAATTACAGAAAATGAAACTTAGTTACAATAGTATGTAAGTAATATTAATTTACCGTATTAAAGATGTCGAGCCCATGTAATTTAATATTACTTACTATCATTATTTATAATAATACGTAATATAGTTTCCATTATATATTTGTTATATTATTTTCCAAAGAAAATAACAATGCTGCAATACGTAAATACGTAAATAAAAAGATCAATCATTCTATTAGATACTATAATTTAACTTCTATATTCGGCATTGATTTTAATATAATCATAACTAAAATCACATGTCCACATTTTAGCTTCCTCATTACCAATACCCAAGTCTACACTAATTTCCAGTTCTTCCAGTTTTAAAATTTCCAAAGCTCTATCCTCATCAACATTTTCAGGTTCACCATGAGTAAGCAATTTTAAAGGAGTTGATCCATCAGTTGGTATAAATGAAACTGAAACTTTATTCGGAATGATGGAAGAAACACCAGAGTAACCAACTGCACAAAGAATTCTACCCCAATTTGCATCTTGACCAAAAAGTGCTGTTTTTACGAGTGCTGATGTTGAAATTGTGGATGCCACTTTTTTGGCATCGGAAAATGTTGGTGCACCCTATTTTTCATACATATATTTATATTTATATATATATTTTTTACATATTTTTATAAACTCTTGAATCAAAATATAAAAAAATATGATTATTACCTTAACATGTATAGTAACAAATTTTGTAGCGCCTTCACCATCTCTAACAACTAATTTAGCCAAATCTGCTGCAAAATTTGTAAGATCATCTCGAAATTTTAAATAATCTTGTCCTTTTACATCATTAATAAATTTTCCCTGATCACTTGTAGCTGCACCATTCGCCAAAACAGCAAAAGTGTCATTTGTACTCATATCTCCATCTACACTGATCGCGTTAAAAGATCTTTCAACCGCATATTTTAATGCTTCATTTAGTACAGGTGCAGAAATTGGTGCATCGGTTACAACTGCTGCTAAAAGTGTCGCCATATTAGGATGAATCATTCCTGCACCTTTAGTAATTCCCGCCATATTGTAACTTAATCCAGAAGGTAAAACGAATCTACCGGATCGAAGTTTAGGAAAGGTGTCTGTAGTCATGAATGCTTCTGCTACTTCTATCCATTCTTTATGAGTTCCTTTTGTAGCTTTTTGATAGCCAGATTTTATCCCTTGTAAGATCTTTTCAATTTGTAAATGTTGACCAATAACTCCAGTTGACATGACTAAAGTACTTGATTCTACACCAACTAATTTTGACACTTCATCCGACATTTTTTTGGCATTTTCATCACCTTTTACACCAGTTACTGCATTAGCACATCCTGAATTTGTGACTAAGGCATAAATGTTTTGACCTGATTTCTTTTCCAAGATTTCACGTGATAATAAAACAGGGGCGGCTTTAAATACATTGGTGGTAAATACTGAAGCGGCAGTACATGGTCTATCGGAAACTATTAATGCTAAATCTTTTATCCCATTTTTCTTTATGCCACAATGAAGACCTGTTACCTTAAATCCCGTAGGATATGTACCAGATGTAGGAACTAAATGTTGTTTACTTGCGGGTATTATGGAACTTGGTGAACTCATAAAACGTATTATTAGGTAACGTGATTTTGGCAGCAATATGCTTGATGGCAAATTAGTTTTTAAGGTATTTATTAAGTAAGACATTAATTGATATTTATTTAAAGAAGGTTTCGGTTGAAGAAAAAAATACAATGCTTTTTTTTTTTTTTTAAAGAATTGTAACTTTGAAAACAAATTGTATCCTTATATATAAATTACCAAATATTGAATCAGATAATCTACTAGATCTAGATCATCTTCTGTGCTCGATAATCTACGATACGTATAACCACTTTACCAGTTACTATCGCTATTACTGTTTATCCGAATTTTAACATATACAGATATGGTAAATGCGTATCGTATACGTACCGATACGTATCGGTATGTTGTAAGTGGAAACAATTTCTTTAATAAAATTACAATTTTAGGTACGCGTAGGTAGGAACCGAATTTAAGTTGATTCGGAATTTTTGAGTATACTGTAACTGTTCTGAGTGCGTATAAGCCTACACCCTAACCCTAAAATCTTATGAAATTCCAAAACCACTTAAAATTCCGTTCCTACTTACAACATACAATTTAAATGTATATTTTTATTCATAATAACGATAATATAGCGATAACATTCCACTTTAAATTTCGTAACAACTTAATTAGTGAGTTATACCGTAAAGTGCTGACTCAAGTACCCAGCGTGATAAATAGTGTAGATCAATATTTTAAAATGCATGCTATTGCTATTTATGTGTGCATGTGATGTATAATATACGTGAATTTTAATTTTTCACTATTTGAAAAATTGCATCACACCGGGTACTTGAGTCAGCACTTTACGGTAAATGATCCATTTATTTAGGGCGTTCTCAATTGCCTTAATCAATGGGTCAAGAAGTGTTGGTGAATAAGTGTGATTGTTATTGTGATGAATATAATCGTAATTTGATAAAGTTTATTACTTAAATAAAAAAATTTTATTAATAAATAAATATATATATATATATTGAGTCTGCTATTTCAATTTACAAACTTTTTACCACAAATCATCTTTTTTTTTTTTATACCTGGCTTGGCAAAACTTGTCATTAATTAAATCCATAACTTTGTCATGAATCCAAACTCTCAGCATCAACGAATTATAGTCAAACCTCTCTATAATCGCACTCTATATAGTCATATTTACTTATAATCATACTAATTTTTAAAACCAACATATATATAAAACATTATAAACACAGAATTTCTTGAAACCAAGTGTGTGATTGATTATAGAGAGGTTTGACTGTATTATTTTATTATGCTAAAAGTTTTTATGGAAAATAAAAAAAAAAAATATCAGAAGGCCCAAAAAATAATTACGGATATTTGCCATATTTACTCATATGGCAACAAATTCTATTATCTCACAACAATCAAACATCAATGAAGACCTAAACCTAGTGGCGACGACATTTGATATCGAGGATAACACATGAGAAAACTTTGATTACATCATAATTTGCATATTTCGAATTGTCGGCAAGAATTTTATATAAATAATTATAGTTGTGCACTATTGCAATTACTAGCTAATCATATCGGGCAGTGTTGTTGATTGGAAGCTTCCAATCAATTTTATTGGAATTGGAATTCCAATAACATCATAAAATTGTGGCATGACGTGTCCTGATATTTTTCCAGCGATCTTTTTTATTAAACGAAATTTAGGATCTATAGCAGAAGGTAGTAACGATAGTAACAATCAGTTATGATGTAAGAAAGTATTAAATTTTTGAACAAACGGAAATTTTTCCGAATACCAAAAAATTACATCGGAATTTTTAATTTATCGGAATCTCCGGTATTTTACCACTACACACTTTTCTATTTTTAACCAACTAAAATTAATGATTTATACTAAGTTAATTTCCAATACACCTTTCAATAAACGGATTAATGATTAGAAGGCATTGGAATTGGAATTTATTGGAAGGCCAATGCCTTCCAATCTTCAATTTTGTCGTGTCATAAATCACCGGGACTTTTAATAATTTCATACGACTGCCAAATAAAATTTATGATTATAAAAATCATTTAAAAGTTGTGAAATACACTCAGCTTAATGTTACAATATTTTTTTAATACTTTATATGACAATCTTTAGTTTTAATATAAAGGTCAGATTCGTGACTATTCGTGACTATTCGTGACTAAAAAATGAATATTCAATTTGAACTAAATTCGCAGCTAATTTAGGATTATGACTTTTAACTTTAATGTAGAGGTCGGATCTGTGACTATTCACGTTAATCTAGAATTAAGTAAAATTCTACGAATAACTCGTGTAGAGTTAACGTAGCCATCAATTTGCAGCCCGCAATAAAAATCGGAATCAGGTAAAACGTAAGTTTTATATAATTAAAATTGTATTCAATGAATATCCGTACCGTATAAGCGCGAAATAACGCTCGTGGCGTTATTTTCTCAAAAATAGAATACGTGATCTCGAATTAGCACACGTGGGCGTCCCGGATTAACGCATCCCAATAAACCAGTGACTATACCCGGCCTGCAATAACTGCTAGCCGGGTAAATGTATCAGGGTCTCTGCGTATTAGTCTAAATATTTAAGTAAATCATCCAGGCTCGCCCCTTATTTCAAAATGGGCGTACTCGAAATAACGCGCAGGTGAGCGTTATTTCGCTTGTACGGTAGATACTATTACATACATCTTTCAAAATCTGAATGAACTTCACAAGTGGACCATCTACGGACACGTACGTACCAGTGCACGTACCCCATTTTCTACTGCGACAGACCCCAAATTCTGCCTGCTGTACTGCAAATTATGCGAATCAGGTATAAATATAGTATATGATGTTATTGACTGGCATCCCCGTCTCCATTCTTCGATCTTTCAGCGAATATCGATGTCATTTATTACATGAACATTGTCTTGCATATACTTTTCGGGTTCATATAGATCTAGTTCCTTATATTTCCTTTTGGAAGGTATTGCTTTGTTTGATTCTTTCTGTATGTGTACATTAGTCAGTTGAATGAGTATATAATTTTAAGAAACAAAATGAAAAAAATTGAAAACTTTTCAAGTAATTATTAGCTAATTAGAATTTAATTTCCTTTCTCTTTCAAGAATAATCTCTAGAAAAAAAAATTCTCATTGATTTTACTTTACGTCCTATTGCAATTAAGCCAACAGAAAGATTACAGTAAAATCTCAGACTGTTATACCGATACGTAAATTTGGATTCAGAACCTCGGCTGAACTTAATGATTTCGGCAAAATCTCTGAATCGTATTAATCCAGAGCTTCCGCAACTGCTTCCAGCTCGGACAGTATTATTAAAATACAACTGCGTTCCGGAACCTAGTCGCACTGTATCATTATATGACTCCGCCAGGAGTCTAGACGCTTTTGCAGTAACGTGATGTGGCGTATCGTGGCACATTCGGATAAGCTTTTTTGGCTTTATGTTATGTTTCTGGTTAGGGTTCGTGGTTATAGGCCTTGAAAGATCATTCCTATATGTAAAATTACGCTCCCGACATTTCTTGTTAGTGACCAAAGGCCGATTTAAACACTAGTTTTTGAGTATTTTCGCTTTTTTCTCTTTTTTTCTTCTTGCGCACGTGTTTTGTTTTGACGTCGGGCTGATCCGGGACGATCAAAATTTACGCATCCCGATTGGCCATTTCTCATGCGCCACATCACGTTACTGCAAAAGTGTCTAGACTCCTGGTGGGGTTATCAGAATATAACTGCAACCGGGCTTAGATAGTCCATATCTAATTTCTGATCCAGTAATAAAAGCGCAATAAGAGCACAAAAGATTTTGATAAAATTCCTGAATTGTACTATATTTAAATTATAAATAATAAGTAAAAAAACTAAATTAAAATTTTCAAATAAGAATATATAGTATTGGTAAAATATTTATTATTAATTTTTTTTATAAATTATAGTTTTTTTATTTGATAATCTGCAAGTTAACAGAACAAAACATATAGTATAATATGACTCAGATTGCTATATAAATTATATATACTTCGAATGCTATGATTACTCAAGGAAAACTTTTTTTTTTATTATGAGAAAGTTGTAAAGCTCATTAAGACGCATCTTATAGTGATTAGATCATCCAAATCAGCCTAGTAAATATTGAGATATCATTAAAAAAACATGTTAATGACTATATAAAATTTCTATAAAAACAATATATTGTTTTTATAGAAATTTTATATAGTCATTAGCATATTTTTTAATGATATCTCAATATCCACTAGGTTGATTTAGATAATTTAACTACCATTAGATGTGTTTTAATAAGCTTTACAACTTTCTTATAATATAGAAGGTCGATTAGCTTAATAAAAAAAAAAGTTTTCAGTAGGTGAGCATAGCATTTGAGACATATATAACTTATATAGTAATCTGAGTTATACTATACTATATGTTTTGTTCTGTTGACTTATAGATCATTAATTATAAAAACTTTTTATAATTATTTAAGAATATTTATAACTATAACTAGTAGTAATAATCACTGGTGTATAATTAGCTAATAAATTTGTAGAATCAAATATAATATGCAAATTAATTTGTATAACAAAAATAAAGATATTTTTTAAAAAAAATATTAATATCTTAAGAATTCGCCTATAAAATTACTTTCAATGTTCTAACAAAAAAATTTCTTGTTAAATTTGCATATATTTAACATCTTGCTAAAATTCCAGGCCTTACTCTAATTCTAAAGTACATGAAATAGAATCTTTTTTTAGTTTATTATTATTGGTTAATTATTTACTAGTGATGATCACCGCTAGTTATTTTAAGTAAAATCTATTATTTAAATACTTATTGTATTACTATTAACAATATAGAATCAAATAAATAAAAAATATAAATTATTAAATCAAGTTGAAGTTAAAAAATTTTAGTAAATAATTTTATTTTATAGGTTTTATAATTTAGCGCATGTGCATTGTAATGCATCTACCTGATTGACTAATCAGATAA